TTAGAAATGTTTGGCGACGTCTGCCATTTCCTGAGTTGCAACCAATCAGCATGAATTAACCACACATTCCTCCTGGAGACTCCACTGTGTCATTTCTGAATAATCCAGTACAGGCACTCGGTTGGTTCCTGAAGTAGCACAAAGTAGGCCTTTTGGACCCGCCTGGTGAAATGGAGACACGGATATGCTTGAAGGTCCGATAAAATTATCCAGAAGTTCCAATAATGGAAGCAGGCCAATAGTGAGATGGAATTTTATGATTGTTTGAAAGTTGATTTGCCCTCAGCTGGTACATCTATGGGTCAAGTTTTGTAAACCAAGCCTTTTTAAAAATAGTGTGAAGTTTTGAGCTTTTGAAATTTTAAGATGGCAGCAATACATTTTGATCTTGGCCACAGTCAAGCTAGCTGTTAGCTTCTTGGTTGTGTTGGATGTAGACTATTTCTCTGAACAGAGGCTGTTCAGGAAGGTACAGTAATTATTCACAACTTTTACACATAACACATGTCAAAATGTCTAAAATGACTCTTTCAAAATAAAGCAACACAGGTGTGTGATTGCCACATGATAGTGAACATATCCTCTGAGCTCCAAACCACTGCAGAGGCTCTCCCAGCATTGACCTTCCCAAAGCATCCAAATCAATCTAAGATAGTTAAATAAAAATGTCAGGATCAAAAGCGTGACATAAATGTCAGATGTTCTTATATTCATCCCATTAAGATCCTGTGGGACATATTTGTTGGTCCAAATCCCCTAGAAAAATGAATGTAAAGCTGCAAGGAGACACATTTAGGTCATTGGCAGGAAAGGTAAAACATGCCCTTGATCGATGTCATTAATAAACCCAATCTTAAGGAATAGTTAATGTGGCCTTGATTTGAGTTTGTGAACATGAAGGGGAAGAATATGGTGGCGAAAAGAAGGATGAAGCAAACCGAGTCTCGTAACATGGATGTTTTGTGAAAGAGCAAGAAATATTCCTGCCTTTTTTTTTTACATAGTCAAAGAAGGAGACCCGGATTCATCTTAAAAATAATTTTACGTCAAATTACCAAGCTGATGAGGGAAATTAAAGTTCATAAATGCTGCACAAGGTCTCCCACGTGTAAAGAAAAAACGAAAAAAGCCAGAAGGCTTCTTTTCTGACTCCACTCTGTGTTGTTCCACGTATCGAGATAACGGCAAAGATTAGCTGCACGGAGTCAAAAATGAGATGTGAGAGGAAGCTGCAATAGGATGTGTAAGAGTTTCCTAAGAAGAACCTGCCATCAGACAGTTTCAACACTCCTGGAGATAAAGAGTTCAGGAACAGGGCCAATCAGCGCATTACTGCACCACATAGGTCACACACCTGCACACACACACACACACACACACACACACACACACACTACTGCTGCTGAGCTGTCGGGAAGGGAACTCGGCACAAGCAGAGATCTCTTACAGCTCCCGAAGCGCTGTGATCATATCTAAGTCACGATCACGCGGGCCACTGGGTTTTCTTCTGTTTGACTTTAACTGGCTCACTGTAGAGGTGAGCACAGAGGGAATTATTAGTAGGTTATTTTTTTATTTATCTCCACGTGAGCGTGTGTTAAGGATGGGAAGTGCAAGTATCTGATACATCACTGTCTTTGTGAGAAAAGCCAGAATAAGCCAAAATTATCTCTCAGGATCATGGGTTGCTCGGTTCTCTTTAGCAAGAAAAAAGGCCAATAACAGAGGGGCTATATGTGGGACACGGAACCTCAAAGTATCGAAAGCTCACAACCTCAAAACCCTTTCCTGTTACAAAAAGGTCTTTGCAGACTGGGATGCTCGGTTTCAGCACTGCAGTCTACGCACAAACGGCCAAATTCACTCAGAGTAAACAACAAACATGGAGCCAGCCGTGGGGCCCATAGAGAAACGGTGCAAAAGTCGCCGGGCTGTACGGCGACTCGCCCAGGGAAATGATTTCTTTTTCACTTTCAGTGATTCAGATAGAGCCTTTGCTATTTCAGAGACATGAGACTGACTCGTCTAGTTCCTGAAAACATGGCTGCTTTTTTTTTCTTTCTTGGGGGTGGGGGTAATGTGTGAGGGGAAAAGTAGGCTGTATTTAGCGTTCCTGCAACTTGTGCTAAATGTGTTGCTGGTATGGTTTGACACTTGAGTTTCCATTAAAGTGAGAATGAGGCTATTTTCAGGCAGTGAGAGGGAAATATGTGGCAGAATCAGCAGCTTCCAGCAGCAGCAGGACTTCTTTATGCAAATCTTATTCTGCTTTAGGAGGGAATGCTGCTGATTTTTCACGTATTTCTG